TGCTCCATGCTGCTCACAACCTCCATTTTCTCCTTGGTTCATTACACTTTTGCCAGACTGCTTTCCAAGTGAAGAAATGTCACATAAAATTCAGCCTTGGCTAAGGTGGGAGGAGAGTACTGACTGACTTTTTAACCCAAGGTCTGTTCTTGGAAGATTCCAATTTGTTGATTTATCTTTTCCATTTTTAGGTTAACTAAAATGATTGTTTGCTCTTTTGTGGATTGCCTCGTTAGAGAAGCCCCAAAAATTTTTTTTTTATAGTGCATCTTATAATGGGATATCTAAAGGAGAATAGTCCTCCAATTTTACTAAATCCTTTCCCACCTACCAATTTAAAATTTTAAACTCTTATTCAGTTGAACTATTTCTTTAAAGCATCTTATTAGAGGAGAAAACCACAAGAAAACTTAGAAACATATTTGCAATACAAGGCGAAGGGTAAGGGTATGAAACTGTCTCATTAATCTACTAGACAAGGGTTGAATTACTTATGAGACGGTACTAGTACTAGCTTGAAGCATTTTTATTCCTTGAACTAGTAGCATTTCAAGTGCAAAGCTCTACCACAATGTTTTTGGACCCGGCCCGGCCCCGTCGATTGAACCAGTTGAACCGGACCTGGGCCTGAAAATGGGCTGGTTGAAGGCTTCAACCCGTTTAGGTAAATGGCCTGTTGAAACCCGTCGTGCATGTTGAACTCGTGCGACACACTACAACCAGCTGGGCCGAAATTTTCACCATCATTTTTTTTTTTTTTTTGAGGAAAGGTAATTAGTAATGCATTAGGGAAACTGCCATACGACATCTACATCCAAATCTTATCCAAAAGGATAAGAGTAACAGACAAAGAAAAGAACAAATTGGAGAAGCAAAGCAAAGTAGACCCGATGCATAGGAGGAAGGGAGGTGAAGTCACTCAAGCAACCTGTGGTCAACCGATCCAGCCATGGGACACCCTTCAATTAATCTACTCCGGAGAGGATGGCATGAAATCTCCAGGACGCCATGGTAGAGATCTAGGTCGACGGTGTCCAAATTTGGAAAATCAGCGAGCACTTACCACCAGGACGCCATGGTAGAGATTTAGGTCGACGGTGTCCAAATTTGGAAAATCAACGAGCACTTACCAAGATCTGCAGGATAGAGCCGAGGGTCGCCTGATCTGAAAAACATAAACTATACAAGAACACAAAGCAAAACAAAACAACTAGAAAAACAGGAAAACCAAAAGGGATCATCGGAAAGGGACCCAAAAGCCGACAGATTCGGAAGGGTCATCGGAGGAGGGAGCACAGGGCGGCTCTAGCATGCTTGAGCAACCGGGAAGCCCGACGGCTCAAGCATCAAAACCTCGGAAGCTCAAAAGCTTCCGCGCAAAACCAACGCAGCACCAAAGAAGGGAGGCAGAAACAGGAGAGAAGGGAGAGAAAAGGGGGAGAAAAGGGGGATCCACCATCTTTTTAAGTTTTTGTATTTTTGACTTAAATTATAATTTAAAACTTAAATTAAAAATCAATAACCGGTTGAACTGGTTGGATGAATTGATTCAACCAATTGACTCGGACCTGATGGTCACAACGGGCCAACCACCGGACCGGGCTCAAAAACATCGCTCTACCACTTAAACAGAGGAGTACATGTCTTTGGGGAGCCACCGGAGAGCATTATTTCATTGATGACAGCTAATATGTTAGGCATTTGGAGGCCTAGGGCCATCAGACCAATTCAGTGAGCTTTCTCACTGTCCTTTGTACCAAAAAAATTTAAGTTTTCGTTTCTTTGAGACATTGACATAACGTCTCAGTGAATGGATGTGGCAATCTGTGCATTGTTCCGTCAAAATTTAAATGACGTCAAGTTTGCATTTTAATGGTATAGAAACAATTGACATTATGTGATGAGATAAACTGTGTCTTGATTATTGATCAAGCAATAATCAAGACAGGTTCCACCAAGAAAAGTTTCAGGAGCTTGAAAGTGCAATTCAGAACA